GAGACTCAAGGAGGGAGCAGTCACTCTAGGCTGGGAGGGTCAGGACATCTTCATAGGGGAGGCAGCATTTGAGCCAAGACCTGAAAAGTGAATAGGATTCAGATAGGGAGATGGTGGGCAGGGGCGAGGAGATGGTATTGGAAGCCAGGTTCCGTAGCAGTCAGGGGGAATAGTTTGCCACAAAGCCCCGAGTGGGTAGTGTACCAAGCCAGGAGCACTTTAAAGATGCTCCCCAGCAACTTTCCGTCAGGACTCACAGCAGCATTATCTCTACCGCTTCACTAACATGTGGCTCGGGGCGGGGGGAATCATCCTCTCTTATCTCACTGTCAGTCCTAAGCAAACAGATGAAGCCCAGGTAGCCAGGAGAGCGTGTTCATAGAGCTGTCTGGCACTGGATCCCACCCCCACCACCTGCGATTTCCAGAGGGCGTGAATCTCGGAATTGGGACCAGGTACAGCCGACATTCATTGGTTGCTGACTATGTATCTGGCACCCCATCTGCATCATCACCCTGGATCTTCACAAGCACCTTCTAGACCCGTATTCCACAGAGGAGGAAACTGAGGCTTAGAGAGGTCAAGCCACTTGCCCAAGGCAGTATAGCCAGTAAGAGGCACAGCTGGGGTCTGAGCTCAGGTCTCCTCTGACCCCCAATCCCATGCCCTCAATGACTCTTGCTATCGAGTCAGGTCCCACTAGCTCACATGATTCCAGAGACCCAAACAGATGCTCTAATGGTGTTGTGCCTCTTTCCCATGTTAATGCAGCCTAGCCACACCTGTTGTCTCCAGGAAACAAAAGCACAGGAATGTTAAAGAGAAGAAATCATGAAAAACATGCTATTAAAAGAAAATCGCTTTCACTGCCCACCAATCTTTGTGTTCCAAACCCCAAGGAATGTTTTTATTCTATCCCCAGATCGTTCCCCAGAAGAGTGGCCACACATACAGGTTTTGCCTATCGTCCCAACCCAATGATTCCTAGTGTCCCATTCACTCCAAATGCTGCCCCCACATTTATTAGACAAGAAATTATGTGCTCACCTTACCTATGAAAAGGCAAAGAAGCCTCACACATCAGGTCTTTGGCAACCCTGACACACAATGCTGAGTGAGGATCCACAGCTCTCCCAAGAGAGAGCGGGCTCCTGGAGGAAGAAATAAGGAATAAAGAGATGGGGAATATGATTTAGAGAAGATTCCTAGTACAACCCACCTTGTTTGGAACTGGAGTGGTTGCAGAACAGGAGTGGAAGAATGCGTGGAACGCAGAGCTCGCCCTACTTGAGAGTGAGCAGGGTTGAGCACTTGCTCTGCCTCATACCAAAAGGGGAAATTCAGACACAGACACATGCGTCCAGGGAAGAAAATGTGAAGTGGCATGGGGAGAAGTGGGCCATTTACAAACCAAGGAAAGATCCCTGGAAGAGATTCTTCCCTCTTACTACTAAGAAGGAACCAACCCAGCTGGCGCTTTGATTTGGACTTCCAGCCTGCCTAAATGTAAACCATAAACTTCTGCTGTTTATGCCGCCATGTTTGTGGTACTTTGTCAGAATATCCCTATCAAACTACTAGAGATCCTGTGACCAAGCAGTGGGATGATGTGATAAGGAACATCTGGAAGATTGGAAGAGGTTTTGGAACTAGGTAATGCATACAGGCTGGAAGCGTTTTGACATGCATGACACAAGAAGCCTAGAGTGTCTTAAGGAAACGCCGGGGGGAAATATGAACACCAAATGCAATTGAAACGAGGGTTAAGAAAGAATTCTTTGCTGTAGAGAAAGGATCTCTGACTTAGAGAATACATATATCATGATCACAGAAATGTTGCCAGCACTATGTGTATTAAAGGTGCTTGTGGTGTGTTTTCAGATGGAGACTAGGAAGAGGTTACTGGAAGCATGAGGAAAGGCGATCCTAGTTTTATAGTGGCAAAGGTTTGGGCTGTATTGTGTTCTGAGTGTCTCTGAGGAAAGTAGAAATTGTAAGTGGTGAACTTGCCCATGTAGCTGATTTCTAGCATTGGAGCTCAGGGCCCAGTATCCCAAAATGAGGGCTTCAGAAGTAGTTTCAGGTGAAGAAGATTTTCTCTGACATTCTTGGTCCTCCTGTCTCTCAGTCCCATTCAGCCCCAGGGGCTAAATATAGAGACCAGAATCCCTCTTCCCAAAGGTAGGTCCTTGAAACCAAGAAGCTCTTTTTTCTAAAGATAGTCACAAAACCTAGAGACGATATTGTAATGTTTTCCACATTTTCATGTAAAAACTGTCCATGAAGAAATGATCTAACCTATCTTGTTTGAATGGAAGTCACAAGACCCCCATTCCAGAGGGTGTCCTGCCCCAAATCCGGGAGGAAGGACTGTGTGATCAGATAGGGCAAGCAGAGTCTAGATGGACAGGCCTTGCAGGGTTTCCCCGACTCCGTCTATTAGCATTAGATCATAGCCTTTTTGTCCCATCATATTTCTACACAACTGTCCGTACTCCTTTGAGCCCAGGCATAAAAATAGATTGTTTCCCATGTATCTTCGGCTATTAACACTAAAGGCTCCTAGGGATACACTTCGAATGAGCTGGTATGCTTTATGTCCTATGGATCTGCCTTTTGTGACTTGAGTTTTCAGCAAAACTTAGGAGGACCAGGGTGAGTCTTGGCCAACACACTGACACACTGAGAAAAGTATTTAGTATTTAATCTGGTTACTCCTAGATGCATATAGTAAATGGGAGAGAAGAGAGAGAAATTAGCCAACGAAGCACTGAGGAGAAGGAAACCAGCACTGGATGATTCAGAAGGTACTCAAAGTATGCTGATACCTGGTCCTGGAAACAGGTGCGAGGGTGTGCCTGGAAAACTATTAGCCTAAGAGGAGAGGCATGTGTCTCACGGATCCAATCAACCATCTCTGCAGAAGTTAGGAATTCAGATATGGGAGATATGGATATTCAAGGAAGATCTGTAGACACCTTCTTGTCTGATGGGCTGGACTCATGTGAATTCCATGGGAAGCCAACGATTTTTTGAGAATTTTATACCAGAAAAATGTTGCCAGACTGGACTGAACGGGGACAAAAATGGGATGAAATGAAAGGAGGCTGTTGGAGTTCCTGGATTGTACCTGCAAGAAAGGGACTGACTGAGGTACCCAGCTGTGACCATTTCTTCATTTTCGAGACGGGGAAGTAGGACTCCAAAGTTGGATCAGAGGTTGGCGTGGCCTTCACTTCCCCCAAGAACCAGGGGCACATTACTAGGGGACTGGGACATCTCTCTCTTGGTCCCAGAAACGGAGGTCACCTCCTGAGTTCCAGGCATTTGTCCCACCTCCTCGGTTTCAGAGGGATGGGCTGAAGCAGCCCAGGCTGGAGGGAGAGCTCCCACCCCACTGCCCAGGGCTTAGGGTGTGAAGCTGTTACCCCACTGGGCCTGAAGGACAGACCATTGAGCCCAAGCAGAATCTTTTCCATCCTTAGAATGTAACAGAATTTGTTCCCACTAGGTTTCAAAAGTGCTTAGGGCCCATGTACTCCAGTAGTTTTTCAGATTTCCTGCTCTTCGTTTGATAAGCCCTATTCGGTACCAGTCCCACAATTGTCTTTCAGAAGCAGATAACTTGTCTAGCTTCACAGGTGCAGTGGTGGAGAAACTTCCCATCTCAGCATGAGTCATACCTGGAGACTCACCCATTCCAGATACAGAAGATTATCAGGTGAGATATTGGAGAACTGATATTGGAGTGAGTTAAGACTTTGGGGATGTTGTGATGAAATGAATGTATTTTCTACGTGAGGATGTTAATTTGTGCCGTGCAGTGGATGCAGAGGATGTACTATTATGGATGGAATTGTGTTTCCCTACAATTCACAGGAAGAAGTCCCAGCCCCCAGTGTTTTAGAATGTGACCTTATTTGGAGAGAGTCTCTAGTCAGGTCATGTGGTTAAAGTGAAATTATGAGGATTGACCCTGCCCAACAGGGTTGCTCTCCTTACAAAAAGGTGACAATAGGTATCCAGAACTGTGAGATGAAAAATACACAGTGTTTAAGTCAGATAGTCTCTGGAATATTTTTGCAGCGGCACTAGAAAACTAATAAAATACATCTCCATCAACAGCATTAAAAGCATACTACCCATCGTAGAACCAAAGAAACACACCCATCTAATCACAGGTTTCCCCTTCATCTCCCATTGAACATTCCTGGACAACTAACTCTTCCGAGTTCAGACCGGGAAACCTGATCACACATTGGGCTGTAGCTCCTTGGCTGCAGGTGACTCACTGGCTGACAGGGATCCAATGGAGCTTGCGCTGCTCCATCAGACAGCATTCCATCATCCCCAGGATGCATAGAGGCCAGGCATGAAGGTCTCAAAAAACAAAAGATTCTAGTCTGAAAAAGAGAAGAATCAGACAAATCTAAGCAAGTGGGATTCCATTTCTAGGGAACCTAGAATAGGTAATGTTCCTTAAAATTTTTCATCTCATTTTCTCTGTACTGTCTTTGGGTCCCTGCTCATGTTTACAAAAGAACTCCATGGTACAAGGAGTGCTGATGAAAATATTGATTGGACTATGTTTGTCCTATTCATCCTATTTTCCATACATTGATACTTCTTATTTGTTGTTTAAGCCATAAAGCTCTTTCCCTTACTTTGCGCTTTCAGTAAGCTACAGCTTGACATCACGATTGCTCACTAGGTTCCCCTTCTCAATCATCCCCTGAAATGCTGTAGCAGATGTGTGAGCTTCCTCTGCCAATCTTCACACCAAAGCAGCCTTTTTCTCTTTCTTCCTATAACTCACAGGCATCAGTCCCCTTGAACTCTCACACTTCACTCCCCACAGCCCAATCAGAGTTCATTGTCAACCCTGTTTTACTAATTCTCCTCGTTCATATCTGAATTTACAAATGGAAAACACACACTCCAGGGTAAAATATCTCAAGATATGGTTTCAGAAAAAGACACGTCAGATTACCCAGTAGACATGCAAGGATAACTTAGAAATTTATTTGTACATCCCATTTGACAGAAAGATTGGCGCTTTAAAGCAAAACAGTTAGCATAATAAGAAATAAGTCACTCAGTGAGATGTGGTGCTTTGGACCAGGTACACAGCTCTGTTTCTGGATAGGAACAGGGTTCTGCCAAGTGTCTTTGGTTTTCAAAGTGTTGCTCCAGACATGTAGGATCACCCGGCGGCACCATCCAGAACGATTTAGTTGTTGCTGTCTTCATGGGGGTTTTTCTTGGTCCACTTGTGCAGTGAGCATTTCTCTTTAACTACTTTCATAACACTTTTCTAATATTCTGAAAAAACAGAAAGTAGGAAATCCCGATGAGGGGACTTCTTGGCTCTACATCTTTTCTCTATGGATCCCAAGTGGAGCTCTGGAGGTGACCTGACCACATTGCCCAACTGCACTATTTAGGGAAGCTCTGGCTACTATCCTGCCACACCCCCATTTCACTCTTGACCAAACTGTCCTCTGACAAAGGTAGAATAATCTGTGTGGCTACAGGTTGGGCCCTCTGGGGTATGTATTTCTCACTTCTGATGGGCTCAAGAAAATTTTTGATTTTTGTCATTTATCCAGCTTTCGTTTCATGGTTTGACTGAGAATGCCATCCTTTACTGTTTTCTACATATGAAGGAGACGGGCTGTTTACAAGATGTTTCAAAATTCACGGGAAACATTTGACAAAAATGACCACATATTGAGCTTCAAGGCACAACATAATAAATTCCTTTGGGTTGCAATCCCAGAGTATGTTCTCTTGTACACATACTCGGGTGGCTGGAGATCCACTGAAAAGAAAAGCAATGGGAAAGTCACAGCTGCTCTGAAATTCAGCAATACACTTATAGGAAAAAGTGCTAAAAATACAAAGACTTGGGACCCAGACGAAAGCACTATGAAAGCTAACCGATATTAACATTAACATGAATATTAGTATGTAAATCTCTTGAGGAAATAAGCGTTGTCTGACTTCTCCTAAAGGCTGACCATTCTCTGCATAACTTGATGCTAGGGGCAAGGAACATATACTACTCCTAGCTTTGGATTCATATCCTTAAATGACCTTGATGACAAGCACTGAAAGCAAAAACATCAGGTGAAGAATCACAACAGTGTCCCCCGAAACACCAGACTGCATTTCAGTGCAAGGCTGTTGTGGGTTCAGCCTGGTTCACTCCCCCCACATTGGGACAATGACTGTTGCTCATAGACTGCAAGTCACTCATTGGTTGCACCACTGAACACTAGGGCATGAGCCGTTTCTGTGGACACTCCCTAAGCCTACTGATACAAACCTGGAAGTAACGAAGGTTTCTGTTTAAAAAGAAACGAAAAGATTATCGTCATGGCAAAAAAAGAATGAACTGCAATAGTGATCTCAGAGTCGGGAAAGCTGGAAAATGAACGGATTCTTGAAAATTGTATTTAGCTGTATGTACACTTTAACTGCGCCTCATTTGCTTACTTACATGGATTCGCGATGGGAGAGGTGTTGAAAAGGTTTAGGAAGGTTACCTTGCTTCTTGTATCAGCCTATTCACTTTCTCTGTTGCTGTACGGCATATAGTGAAGTTCTGGAAAATTCCACCATCCAGTCACAAGAGAATGAGAGAGAAAAAGGTAAAGATCAGTGCAATAATAATATCACCATTAAGGTAATCTAGAAACATAACTAATAAAAACGACCACTTAGGAAACTGAGGAAATGAAACGCGATCACGGAAACACCCACTACTTTTCCTTGGAGCAAACTGCACTACAGATATATTGGAGTTGACAATGTTTAGTATTGAGGGGAAAATGCTTGAAAAATCGCAGGATGCCACACACCACATGCCCCCCAAGTCGGAAGGGCACCACCCACCCCAACCTCCGGTGGGGTCCCCTCCTTGGCAAGGCACTGGTCTTTCAGGCCATGTTGGGTGGCTCTGAAAAGACCCTTTGGGTTCCCGTGGTGCTCGGGGGCTCCTGAGGGAATGCACTTGCTCCTGGTGTACCTGAGGACAGCCTTCGTGCCTTCGGACTCTGCCAGTTTGCCCATCTCCCCCGGCAGCAGCAGGCGCACAGCGATCCGGGTCTCCCAGGCGGTGATGGTCTGGCGCTTGGTGGAGCGGGCCAGGCGACCAGCCTCGGTGGCGATGCGGTCCAGTATGTCATGGACCAAAGAATCCATGACACTCACGGCCTCCCGGGAAAGGCTGAGGCCCTGGTGAACCTGCTTCAGCACCCGGCGGAAATAGGTGGCGAAGCTGTCCCCGCGGCAGTTGGCGTGACACCTGCAGGGCCCACGGCGCCCTCGCTTCCTCTGCTTGCTCTGCTTTTGGGCCATCGTGGAGTTGGCCTCTTTGGGCTCCTGGGTGATCAGCTGCTCCTCAGAGGTCGTCTCAGAGGAAGGTTCAGCCATGGCGGAGGCAGCGGCCATTACACGGCACGACCAGACAATGGCGGTTGTGGATCGGAGAAGCGGGGGCACTTGGGTACGCAGCATGGCGCCAAGTCTCGGGCCAGCTTCACTTCTGATTGGATGAAGTGTCACGTAGGGAGTCTCTCAGCAACCCTACCTGCGTTGAAGGTGACTGGATGGTCCCGTTGCTTAGCATCTTGTCAACCAATCACAGTGCGCGTCTGCGGGCCTAAGCGCCCCTTGTGGCCTGGCTTGGAGAAAGTTACACAGACAGATGCCCCACAGGGCAAAAGCGCATCCGCCCTTCTCAGCTGATCCATGTCACAGCGTGAGCACTTTGAAGGGTGTCACTGAAAACTCCCAAAGTTTAGCAATTTCAGTTCATGATCCTTGAAGAGAGACAGACCTCCTGAACCCAAGTCCACTGTGCCAGAGGAATGACTGTGGCCACGTGTGGAACAATTCTCACTCATCTCAGAATCTACTGTTATCCTGGGCTAAGTCACCTGGCTTGAGCAGAAACTCCCTGACATGGCCACTGAGGGTTCCTAGGCATCAAAGGACCTAGCGGTCTGGCTCCTGGCTTCAGTTCTGATCAACATCTTCCGTGAATCAGCAGAACGAGAAATGGCCATACCCCAGCCTCCAAGCAGATAATAGAAACAGAAAGGTGCTTTTATTAAAAACATATGACAACACTCAACGTTGACCAGGTTTTAAAAAGTAATAAAAAAAGGAAAACAAAACAACAACCACAAATCACAACTCAGAAGGTGGTAATGGCTAATAATTTTAAGAGATATTGGGTTAAAAATATCTTCTTAAATCTCCTAGGAAGCCCACGAGGGAGAGAAAGGGATTCCAAAACTGAAAATTATGTTCAAGTTAGAAAGATAGCTTTCAAGAGTCTCTGACAATATATGCAAAGACATTCCTTAAATGCATTTAACTAACATTAAGTTGCAGGAAATGAACAAGAAAATTCTTAAGAAATGCTGAAGAAATAAAGGTCATCAATGAACTGTCATTTCAAAGGCCAGGCTTTCAAGTGTATTTGATGTCATGTCTTTAACAAACAACTTATTCTACTCCTAATAACTCGGTTCATAATTAAGAAGGACAAAAAGGCTCATTTTTGTTATTAGATAACATAGTATATGATATGCTCCGTGACTGAACTCTAGTTAACCATTTCTGGACAGCCCCATTACAAATGATGATTTTATAAATCTACTTAAACGTTTAGCAAGCCAATCCTTCTCTTAGTTTGGTACAAGGCACAAGAGACCTGTCCACAACAATCTCTGTATTCATATCAGTAAGTCAGCATGACATTTTTCTTTAAAAAAAAAAAAAAAAAAAAAAAAGGCAAACAAAAAACAGAGAAAGAGCCACATCGTTTTTCTTCACAATCTGCAAGGTTAAACATCCCAGGGAGGTTCTCACTGGTTCATTTCCGGGTCACCTCGCCACACATTCAGCCATGGCTTATGGTGGCTCAACGGCTAGAAAGCCTTTATTGCCTAAGCCAGTAGTGACTATGGCATGAGCTGCTCTCATTAGGATGTTCCCATCATCTACGTGATGCAAAATTATAATATATACTCCTTATGTTGTTTCCTTAATTCTCTTTTATTTAATTTTAGAGACAACAATCTGTCGCCCAGGCTCGAGTGCATTGGTGCGATCTCAGCTCACTGCCACCTCCACCTCTACAGGGATACGCCACTATGCCCAGGTAATTTTTGTACTTTTAGTGGAGACAGGGTTTTATCATGTTGGCCACGCTGGCCTTGAACTCCTGGCCTAAAGTGATCCATCCACATCGGCCTCCCAAAGTGCTGGGATTATAGGTATCTGCCACTGCGCCCTGCCTGTTTCCTTAATTTTTAATATAGTCATAATCTTTATTGTATCAGGCTGTTTTCCGTTTTATTTTAAGTTCAGGGGTACATGTCCAGAACGTACAGGTATTTTAGAGAGGTAAACGTGTGTCATGGGGCTCTGCTGTGCTGATTATTTCATCACCCAGGCATTAAGTCTGGTAACCATTAGTTATTTTTCCTGATCCTCTCCCTCCTCCCACTCTCCACCATCAGATAGGCCCCAATATGTGTTGTTCTTCTCTATGTGTCCATGTGTTCTCATCATTTAGCTCCCACTTATAAGTGAGAACATGCACTATTTGGTTTTCTGCTTGTATTAGTCTGTTCTCACGCTGCTATGAAGAAATAGGCGAGACTGGGTTATTTATAAAGGAACGAGATTTAATCGACTCACAGTTCCACAGGGCTGGGGAGGCCTCACAAAACTTACAATTATGGTGGATGGAAACGCAAATACATCCTTCTTCAGGTGGTGGCAGGAAGGAGAAGTGCAGAGAGAAGGGAAGGGGAAAGCCCCTTCTAAAACCATCAGATCCTGTGAGAACTCACTCACTATCATGAGAACGGCACGAGGCAAAGTACCCCCATGATTCCATCATCTCCATCTGGTCCCACCCGTGACATGGGGAGAGCATGGGAATTATAATTCAAGGTGAGATTTCGGTGGGGGACACAGAGCCAAACCATATCACTGTTCTTGCAGTAGTTTGCTAAGGGTAATGGCCTCCAGCTCCATCCAAGTCGCTGCAAATGACATGATGTCGTTCTGTTCTGTGGAGGCATAGGATTCCACAGTGTATATGTACCACAGTTTCCTTATCCAGCCTATCATTCATGGGCATTTGGGTTGATTTCATGTCCTTGCTATTGAGAACTGTGCTGCAATGAACATAAGCATGCACACGTCTGTATAATAGAAGGATTTCTATTTCTTTGCCTATATGCCCAGTAATGGCATTGCTGGGTCGAATGGTATTTCAGACTTCAGGTCTTTCGAGAATTGCCACACTGTCTTCCACAATGGTTGAACTAATTTACACTTCCCCAAAGACAATGCGTAAGCGTCCCTTTCTCTCCACAAACTTGCCAGTATCTGTTATTTTTGGACTTCATCATAGTAGCCATTCTGACTGATGTGAGACGATATCTCATTGTGGTTTTGATTTGCATTTCTCTAATATCAGTGATGCTGGCTTTTTTTATTTGCTTGTTGGCCCTGTGCAGGTCTTCCTTTGAGAAGTGTCTGTTCATATCCTTTGCCCATTTTTTAATGGGCTTGTTGGTTTATTTCTTGTAAATGTGGTTAAGTTCCTTACAGATGCTGGATATTAGACCTTTGTCAGCTGCATCATTTGCAAAAATGTTCTCCCATTCGGTAGGTTGTGTGTTTACTGTGATGAGAGTTTCTTTTGCTATGCAGAAGCTCCTTAGTTTAGTTAGATACCATTTGTCAATTTTTGCTTTTGTTGAAATTTCTTTTGGCATTTTAGTCATGAAATCTTTGCTGGTACTGGTGTCCATGTCCCAAATGGTGTAGCCTAAGTTGTCTTCCAGGGTTTTTACAGTTTTGGATTTTACTTTTAGGTTTTTAGTTTATCTCATGTTAATTTTTGTATACAGTGTAAGGAAGGGGGTCCAGGTTCAATCTTCAGCATATGACTGGTCAGCACTTCCAGCACTATTTATTGCATAGGGAATCCTCTCCACATTGCTTGCTTTTTTCAGGTTTGTCAAAGATCATATAGTTGTAGGTGTGCAGTCTTAATTTCTGGGTTCCCCTCAAAATAATAATATAATAATAACGATAGCAACAATAATTTCTGCGTTCTCTATTCTGTTCCACTGGTCTCTGTCTCTGTTCTTGTACCAGTACTGTAGCCCTGGAGTATAGTTTCAAGTCGGGTAGCATGATGCCTCCAGTTTTCTCCCTTTTGCTTAAGATTGCGTTGGTCTATTCGGGCTCTTTTGTTGGTTTCATGTGAATTTTAGGATCTTATTTCCAGTTCTGGGGAGAATTTCAATGGTAGTTTAATGGGAATAACATTGAATCTGTAAAGTGCTTTGGGAAGTATGGTCGTTTTAACGATACTGATTCTTCCTATGCGTAAGCATGGAATGTTTTTCCATTTGTTTGTGTCACTTCTGACTTCTTTGAGTAGTGGTTTGTAGTTCTCCTTGTAGAGGTCTTTCACTTTCTTGGTTAGCTGTCTTCCTGGGCATTTTATTCTTTTTGTGGCAAATGTGAATGGGAGTTCATTCGTGATTTGGCTCTCAGGTTCATTGTTGTGGATGTACAAGAGTGCTGGTGATTTTTGCACATTGATTTTGTATCCTGAGGATTTGCTGAAGTTGTTTATTAGCTTGAGAAGCTTTTGGGCTGAAACGATGGGGCTTTCTAGATATAGGATCATGTCTGAAAACAGGGACATGATTTTTACGTCCTCTCTTCCTATTTGAATCCTCTTTATTCCTTTCTCTTGCCTGGTTGCCCAGGCTGGAACTCCCAAGACTATGTTGAATTGCAGTGGTGAGAGGGCATCCTTGTCTCGGGCCAGGTTCCCAGGGGAGTGCTTCCAGCTTTTGCCCACTCAGTATGATGTTGGCCGTGGGTTTGTCATAGATAACTCTTAATATTTTGAGGTGTGTTACTTCAGTACATAGTTTATTGAGAGTTTTTAACATGAAGGGGTGTTAAATTTTATCAAAAGCCTTTTCTGCAGCTATTGAGATAAACATGTGGCTTTTCTCTTTAGTGCTGTTTATGTGATGAATCACAACGGTTGCTTTGAGTATGTTGAACCGACCTTGCGTCCCGGGGGTCCCGGGGATGAAGCCCACGTGATTGTGGTGGATATGCTTTTTGATGTGCTGATAGATTCGATTTGCTAGTATTTTGTTGAGGATGTTTGCATCAATGTTCATCAAGGATATCATCCTGAAGGATTTTCTTTTTCTGTTGTTGTATTTCTCTTGTGTCAGTTTTATACAATCATCGTTTTACTCCTCTTGTTAATCCATTCTATTACCTTTCCTTCTTGGCACCTCCAATCATCTTCTTGTGATCATTTAACATCTCTTTAAATGAGATTCTTCAGAAATTTCTTTAAAAACGTTTTTGTTGGTATCTACACTAAGAGTTTTCCATTTCTCTCAAATCTCATCATTTCTGACTTAGGTCCTGGAAGAAATGAACTCTGAAATAAAGTTTAGTGTGTGGGAAGCTTATTTAGGGTCAATGGCTGAGGAAGGGTCAGGAGGGAGGCAGGAGTGGGCATAGGGAGAAGTGCATCTTGAGTACAAAGCCAATGGAATCCTATTCTGATCTCAGGGTGACATCTGAAGATAAAGGGGCCCATTAGTGTATTTGCCGTTGTGCCAAAATACCAGACCATTCAACTTCTCCTGGATCAGGCAGTGTATATGGGCAAGGTAACTAAGGGTAACTACGGTAATACCGGAAAGGTCTAATGGCTCAGGACTGGCACCTGCTTGCATTCCCAACAACCAAAACAGTCAATCCATCCTTAAAGGGGACGCTGGCTCATCCACACCTACCACAGCCTCGTTCTCTAATAATACTTTAGCTAGCAATGACATTCTGTGTTGACACACATCTCCTGTGATATTGACTTTTATTTATTGATATAAGGAAGTTGGCTGTCAAACTATTTGTTATTCCTTTATAGGCCTTGTAGCTGTCTTTTTTTCTTTTCTCAGCTATGGTGATTTCTGTTTTTATTTTTCTTAAGCTTTAGAAGGATGGGTACAGGTGTCCTCCCTAAAAGTAGAATATCATGTCTTCCTTCAATACTGTGAAATTACCAGCTATTTTCCCTTTGATTAGGATTCTTCCCAACTTGCCCAGTATTACTTATGAGATATACTTTTTGCTTTTTAGTCAAATCCTTAAGGTTTATCAGTTCTCCTCACTCCTTTCTCACGTGTTATGTCCCTATGAAATTTTCACAATGACTTTACATCTGTCTTCTCTTTCTCCAATTCTCAGTCCAACTGGGCCTAATCTGCTATTTAACATTTCTTTAATTTTTCTGTTGTTGCCATTCAACTTTCATATTTTGGCAAAGCTCCATGACATAGGCCTGGACAATGATTTTTTGGATAGGACTCTGAAAGCCCAGGCAACAAAAGTGAAAAGTACACAAATGCGATGGTGTCAAATTAAAGATGTTTTTACAGAAAAATAATAAATAATAGAGCAAGGAGACAACCTGTTACACAACGTAATGCATACACGACCTAGTTAAATTTCTACCCTGCCTTAACTCTGCTTGTTTTAAGGAAACAGGATACCTGACATCAGAATTTCCTATTGTGACCAAGCCGGCTGGGGCTGATGGGATGTAAAATGGCAGCTCAATTGATCTTAGAGGAACCTGGAACTTCATTATAATCAAATTCCCATACGAACTGACACATCCACCAGCACCATGACAGCTGACAGTCACCGTGACAATGACTGAAGGAAACCATGAATGGGGAATAAAGCAGGTGGCATTCTGTTTTTGAGAATTTCTGCACCTATCCAGACAAAAGACATGATTATTCCTCCCCTTGCTTTCAATGCCCAATCCCTTCGTTAAAGATACCCTATGTCTGTGACATTCCGCCTCTCCCGAGGTGAGAAGTTGATTTGTGAGCCAACCTCCTGTTGTAAAGTCCATGGCCAAGGAATAAAGCCTGCACTGCCTGACACTCACTTGCAATTTCTCATATTGGCTTCACAACACCGAACAGGGAGAGATACCACCTTTTGGGGGACCCCTTTTGTTGGTAACAAGCCCACAGAACTCGAGCAAATACTGCTACTGTACATTTGATAAAAGGTTAATATCCAAAATATAGAAGGAATATGAACAATGCAATAGCAAGAAAGCAAATAATTCAATTTTAAAATCAGCAAAGGACCTCAATAGACAATTCTGAAAAGAAGCAGCTCAAACCGCCAGTGGTACATTAAAAATACTCAGTTCATCATGAAGACAATGCAATTTTTTTTTTTTTTTTTTGAGGGTGAGTTTCTCTCTGTTTCCCAGGCTAGAGTGCAGTGGCACAATCTCCGCACACTGCAACCTCTGCCTCCCGGCTTGAAGCAATTCTCCTGCCTCGGCCTACTGAGCAGCTGGGATTACATGTGCCCGCCACCATACCCAATTTTTGTATTTTCAGCAGAGACGGGGTTTCATCATCTTCACCAGGCTGCTCTTGAACTTCTGACCTCACAATCCACCCGAGTCCGCCTCCCAAAGTGCTGGTATTACAGGTGTGAGCCACTGCGCCTGGCCTGGCAATGCAAATTTAATCCACAGTGAGATGTCACCTCACACACCTGTTTGAATAGCTTTTACCAGAAAAGATGAAAGTCATAACAGTGTTGACGAGAATGGAGAGAAAAGGGCACTCTTGTACACGTTTGGTGGAAATGTGAAGTAGTGGAGGCATTACGGAAAACAGTGTGGAAATTCCTCAAAAAATGAAATTATACAATTGCAATATGGTCTGGAAATCCCACATACCTGCTCCGGGTCTATAGTCAAAGGGAATGAAATCAGTACCATGAAGAGACATCTGCACTCCCGTGTTCACGGCAGCATTATACACCACAGTGAAGATGCAGAAGCTGACTAAGAGTTCATCATTGGGTACATGAGTAATGGAAACGTAGTATGTAGGTACGACAGAATGCTCCTCAACCTTGACAAAAGCAACGTATGTCATTTGGCACACTGTGGATAGAGCCGGGGGACGTTCTGCTAAGTTATGAAATAAGCCAGGCACAGAAAGACAAATACTAAATGTCTAACTTATAGGTAGAATCTTAAAAAGCTGAATTCATAGAAGTGGAGAGTAGAATGACGGCTCCCCAGGGGCTGGGACGTGGGTGGGGAGGGGTGGGAGGAAGAAAATGGGGAGTTGCCGGTCAAAGGAGGACACGTTCTAGATACACAGGATGAATACGTTTTGAGATCTATTGCACGGCAGGATGGCTACAGTCAGTAGTAATGGATTGTGTAAATCAGGACAACCAAGAAAGTAAACTTCATGTGTCTCAGGATAAAAATGATAGGTAAACGAGGGGATGGACATCAGCTTGGGGTAGTCTTACCACATTGAATACATATTTCAAAATATCACATTGTACCCCATAAATGCATACAGTTAAGATTTGTGCATTAAAAATAACATCAATAGAAATATAAAAAGATTGAGCATATCAAGTGTTGGCAGAGATGTTGAACAACTGAATTCTCATGCACTGATAGTGCTCATGTAGAATGGCACAGCCCTTCAGAAACTATTTGTCAGCTCCTTGGAAATTAAATGGGCACTTAACTCTGTGACCTGGCAATCCAATTCCTGCTTATTGACTCAAGAGTAATGAAAGCGTATAAAAAGAAAACAAGACATTTGCAAATAAAAGCAATTCAGTGAGTGTAAAAACAAGAGGCAACCCTTTCTGTCAGACATCCCACTCTGTTGAAGTTTGTTTAGACAAAACACTTGTTCATGCAATTTCATTTGAATTCACGCTCTAATGGAGACTGAGTAAGGTGAAGCAAATAAATGATGTATTTCCTTATTGTTTGAGGTATCTCCTGTAAGATATGTTAACTTAAAGAAGCATTACTTTGACTAACTTCTGACAGGCTGACAAACTCAAAGGCTAATACAAATGTCGGGTGGACCAGGCACTGGAGTGACATTTGGGAGATCAACCTGGGTGCTGGTGTCAGATGTAACCCAGTAACTGTGGAACTCTGGGTAAGGAAGGCCCTTGATGTATTTGTGAAGGGATACCGAGTCCCTGGAAGGGACAGAATTCACTCTGCCAGTCCGAGGATTACAGCAAGCACAATAATTATGTACCTTATTCCTCGTTAACACAAAATTCCCTCTAGTGCGTGACAAAATACCTCAACAAGCATCCAGGCCACCAGATAGTCCTTGCCTAACGTCAATCCCCCAAAAGCACGTGTGGTTCACCAATGCCTCTGTATAGATCTTGGGAGCACAGTTAGTTAAATGATGGACATATTTCAGGATTTCAGAAGAATTATGGAAGCAGTAGCAGGCCCATGAGGTGCAGGACCGGCCTGTCACACACATCAGAGAGATGCTGCATGGCAGGGACTGGATTGAGGATGCGAGTGAAGAGGAGTCAAGGCCCTTTTGTGCTCCACTAATGCCCTATTCAGGTGCTAGCCCATTTGGCCTGTGACCCCAGATGTTTGATGGCGGTCCTTTACAATAAGGTGAAAGAATAAATGCCACTCTTTCGAGCTTCGTCCTCCCCACCACGCATTTGTTCCCCGCTTATCCAGGAGTGATGGCCACAATCAAAGAGGAGAAAGGCTGTGATGGATCAAGAATGAGGACCAACCCCATCATACCAGCCACTACACTGGGGTGGGATTTTTATCCTGCCACATAAATGTAGTGGGTTTTTTGTCAGGCCCATGTGCTTGGAGGTGAAAAAAACACATTATTACCTGAACATTCAAGTAGGTTGGGGACAAAATTGGGGATGGGAAAAGAGAGAATCATTTTTATCTCTCTATTTCCATTTGATTCCCTTTGTTCTCTTATTGATGGTGTAGGCAGGAGACATTTCCACTCATACCTATTAATTCATGTCTTTCAACCACTAAGACTGTGACCAAACGATCAGAGAAAGAAGCTTGTCCAAAAATTAATTCAAGTTGCATTAAAGACTTAAATGGTAGACCTAAAACCATAAATCCCCTAGAAGAAAACCTAGGCACAATCATTGAGGACATAGGCATGGCCAAGGACTTCATGAATACATCACCAAAAGCAATGGCAACAAAAGCCAAAATAGACAAATGGGATCTAATTAAACTGAAGAGTTTCTGCACAGCAAAAGAAAGCGCCATCAGAATGAACAGGGAACCTATAGAATGGGAGGAAATTTTTGCAATCTACCCATCTGACAAAGGGCTAATATCCAGAATCTAAAAAGACCTTAAACAAATTTACAAGAAAAATTCAAACAACCCCATCAAAAATTGGGCAAAGGATATGAACAGACACTTCTCAAAAGAAGACATTTGTACAGCCAACAGACACATGAAAAAATGCTCATCATCACTGGCCATCAGAGAAATGCAAATAAAAACCACAATGAGATACCATCTCACACCAGTTAGAATGGCAATCATTAAAAAGTCAGGAAATAACAGGTGCTGGCAAGGATGTGGAGAAATAGGAACAATTTTATACTGTTGGTGGGAGTGTAAACTAGTTCAACCATTGTGGAAGACAGTGTGGCGATTCCTCAAGTATCTAGAACTTGAAATACTATTTGACCCAGCTATTCCATTACTGGGTATATACCCAAAGGATAATAAATCACGCTACTGTAAAGACACATGCACACGTATGTTTATTGCGGCACTATTCACAATAGCAAAGACTTGGAACCAAGTCTTGACAATGACAGACTGCATAAAGAAAATGTGGCACATATCCACCATGGAATACTATGCAGCCATAAAATGGATGTGTCCAGGTCCTTTGTTGGGACATGGATGAAGTTGGAAACCATCATAATCAGCAAACTACTGCAAAGACAGGAAACAAAAAGCGGCATATTCTCACCAATCAGTGGGAATTGAACAATGAGAACACTTGGACACTGGGTGGGGAACGTCACACACCGGGGCCTGGCATGGGGTGTGGGGATGGGGGAGGGATAGCGTTAGGAGAAATACCTAATGTAAATGATGAGTTAATGGGTACAGCACACCAACATGGCACATGTAAACATATGTAACAAACCTGCACGTTGTGCACATGTACCCTAGACCTTAAAGTATAAAAATAAAAAAAGAAAGAAAAAAAAAAAAAGAAGCTCCCAACAAGAGTGCAAATACAAATTTCCTCCTCAGTCTTCAAGCACGAACACCCAGAAAGACAGATTTTTTGGCTGGGTCCCTAAGCACACGGGAAACCCATGGCTGTGGCTCAATGGCTGTGTCCCTCCTGTGATTCAGGGTAGAGTGGGATTTCAGCTCCTCTCATTGGACGCTCCCATCTTCTCTGTGATGTACAGTTGAAGGTCATGAAGTTTTATTTTTATTTTTTAACAAAAGATTATAACTTGGAAAATAGTTGAT